AAGGAGGAGAGAAGGAAAAAGAGGGGGTGGGTGAGGGGGAATGGTGGGAGAGAGGGAAGGAAGAAGGGGGATGAGGGAGGGGGAAGGGGAGAGGAAGAGAATGATATACAGAGGGGAGCCAAGGGAGGGAATTCGGTAAAGAGAGAGGAGAGCAGACCGAAGAGAAGAGAGGAGACAAGAAGAGTAAATAGAGGAGGGGAAAAGAAAGGGGAGAACGGGACATGATAAAGGGAGGGGAAACTGAAGAAAAGGGGAGATCGAGAGAAAAGTACGATAAAGGGGGAGGTAAACAAGGAGAGGGGAAAACGAGGGAAGAGCAGGATAAAGAGAGGGGAAAAGGGTAGAGCAAGAGAAAGTATGAAAAAGGGGAAACCAAAGAAAAGGAGAGAGTGAGGGAAGAGGGGAAACAAAGAAAAGGGAAAGACGAGGGAAAGGGGTAGAGCAAGAAATAATAGATATACACCGGAGAACCCACACAAGAAAGGGAGAGCGAAGAAGAGGAAGATAAAGAGGAGAGGAAGGGTAGAGCAAGAGAATAGATACGAGGGGACCAAGAAGAGAGAGAGAAAAACGAAGGGAAAGAAGAAGAAGATCGAAGAAAAAGGGGAGAAAGAAGGAAAGAGAAGATAAAGAGAGGGAAACTCGAAGAAAAGGGGAGAACGAGGGAAGAGAAGGAGGATAAAGAGAGGGGAAACTCGAAGAAAAGGGAGAACGAGGGAAGAGCAGGATAAAGAGAGGGGAAAAGGGTAGAACCAAGGAGGAGAAGTATGATAAACGAAGGGAAAAAAGAAAGAGAGAACGAGGGAAGAGAAGGAATAAAGAGGGGGAAAGGGTAGAAAAGAGAGAAGTATGATAAGAAGGGACAAGGGAGAGAGACAGAAGAGGGAGCAGATAAGAAGAGGGGACTGAAGAAAGGGGGAGACAGAGGAGCAGGATAAGAGGAAACTCGAAGAAAGGAGAACGAGGAGAGCAGGATAAAGAGAGGGAAACTCGAAGAAAAGGGAGAACGAGGAAGAAGCAGGAATAAAGAGAGGGGAAACTCGAAGAAAAGGGGAGAACGAGGGAAGAGCAGGATAAAGAAGGGGAAAAAGAAGAAAAGGGGAGAACGAGGGGAAAGGGGTAAGAGCAAGAGAAAGTAGATAACGAAGGGGAACAAGAAAGGAAAGAAGAGAGAGAAAGAAGAGAAGAGAGAATGAGAGGGGAACTCGAGAAGGGGAGAACGAGGGAAGAGCAGGATAAAGAGAGGGGAAACTCAAAGAAAAGGGGAGAACGAGGGAAGGAGAGATAAAGAGACAGGAAAATATCGAAGAAAGAGAGAAAGAGGGAAGAGCAGGATAAAGAGAGAGGACTCACGAAGAGAGGGAGCAGGGGAGAAGAGCAGGATAAAGAGAGGGAACAAAGGGGAGACCGAGGAGAGCAGGATAAGAAGAGAGGGAAAACTCGAGAAAAGGGCCCGAAGAAGAAAGCCAGGATAAGAGACGGGAAATTCGAAGAAAAGGAGAGACGAGGAGGCAGGATAAGAGGGGGACTCAGCGAACAAGAAACAGGGAGCGAGGGAAAGAGACAGGATAGGACGGAATTCGAAGAAAGGAGAGAACGAGGGAAGACAGAGAAGAGAGGGATAAAGGACTCGAAGAAAGGGAGACGAGGAAGAGCAGGATAAAGAGAGGGAAACTCGAATAGAAAAGGGGAGACGAGGGAAAGCAGATAAAGAGAGGGACCGAAGAAAAGGGGAGACCGAGGGAGAGCAGGATAAGAGAGGGGAAACCAAGGAAAAGGGGAGACCGAGGGAGCAGGATAAAGAGAGGGGAAACTGAGAAAAGGGAGAACGAGGGAAGAGCAGGATAAAGAGAAGGGGAACCAAAGAAAAGGAGAGAACGAGGAAGAGCAGGATAAAGAGAGGGAACTCGAAGAAAAGGGGAGAACGAGGGAAGAGCGAGGGGAAAGGGGAAGGGCGAGAGCCGGAGCGAGCAGGCATCAAGTTCTCTCGATTCGAAGCGAGAGGGGAGGGTTCGGGCGCGGGGCGGTGGGCGGAAATGGAGGCTGAAATCGGACACCGGATTTTGAGGGGAAAATCGGATGTTTTATGAGGATTTTTGATGATATGATGATGATGATGGGGGTTTTGTTTATTTTTATTTAATTATTTATTATGTTTATTTTTTTATTTTATTTGGTTTTATTATTTATTATTATTAATATTATTATTATTATTTTTTTGTTAACCGAATGGTTATGATGATTTTGATGATGATGATGGGTGTTGATGTTTATTTATTTAATTTATTATTTTTTATATTTATTTTTTTTATTTATATTTTTTTTTGTAAACCGTAAATGGTTTAGGATGATTATGATGATGATGATGATGATGATGATGATGATGGGTGTTGATGTTTTTTTATTTATTTATTTTTTATTTATTTTTTTATTTTTTGTTAACCGAATTTGGTTTATGATGATTCTGATGATGATGGGGACGGTGATGTTAATTTGTGGGTTCTTGTAAACCGTATTGGGAAAAAATGATGCATTATGATGATTTTTATGGGGATGGTGATTTAATTTGCGTTTTATTTTATTTTATTTGTTAACCGAATTTGAGGAGAAAATGATGTTTATGATGATTTTGATGATGTGATGATGGGGGATGATGATGTTGATTTGTGTTTTTTGTAAACCGTAATTGGAAAAAAATGATGTTTATGATGACGTTTTGTAAATCGTAACGGGAAAAAATGATGCCTATGATGATGGGGAGGATAATGATGATATATTTTTTCTTAACCGTAATGGGGGAAAATATATAAAAAAGTGTTTATGATGATAATTGTTACTTTTTCCGGTGATGGTGGTGTTGGTAGTGGTGGTGGATGACTGTTGATGGTTGGTGGTTATGATGACTTGTGATGATGGCGGTAATGGTATTGATTTTGAATGGTGATTGTGGTGATGGTGCTGATGGCGATTGTGGTGATGGTGTTTATGGTGAATGGTGATTGTGGTGATGGTGAATGATGATTGTAGTGCTGATGTGAATGGTGATGGTGCTGATGGTGGTGGAGATGATAATGGGATAATGGTAATGATGCTGATGATGAGGTCGTCCTAAGGCGCTAATGAGAGCAAGGGCGGGCGAGGTGACCGTTAAAATCCCCGCGCGCCGCCCGCCCCGAAGTCGCTCTTTTGGCGGGAAACTTTTGGGCGGAACGAATGCGCGCCTTTTTTTTTTTTTTTTTTTGTATTTTGCCTTTCGTTGTTTTTCTCTCTCTCAATCTGCCTTTAGTTTTTTTTTTTCTTTCTTTATTTGTCTGGCGTCTCTTTCTCTATTCTCTCTCTTCTTCTCTCTCTCTCTCTCTCTCTCTCTCTCTCTCTCTCTCTCTCTCTCTCATCCTCTCTCTCTCTCTCTCTCTCTCTCTCTCTCTCTCTCTTTTCTTTCTCTTCTCTTTCTCTCTCTCTTTCTCTCTCTCTCTCTCTCTCTCTCTTCTCTCTCTCTCTCTCTCTCCTCTCTCTCTGCTTCTCTCTCTCTCCTCTCTCTCTCTCTCTCTCTCTCTCTCTCTCTCTATATATATATATATATATATAATATATATATATATATATATATACATACACACACATACATATGCACATAACACACACGCACACACTATGTATATATTTGCATATTTTATATGATTTAAATTTATTTAATCGTTTTTTGCTTCTCAGATGTCACCATATCAATTCTCCAATTAATGTAGCTCAATATTTGCCCCGATTCCGCGTCGCACTCCAGCAAATGGCGAGAGCGCTGCCCCCCTCCCCCCTCCCCCTCCCCCTTCCGCCGCGGATTTCGAACGTCGCTTCGACACGCCTTCGAAAAGGCCTTTTTTTTTGGGGGGGGGGGATGAGGGGGGATGGGAGGGAGGAGAGGGATGGAGGGGAGAGGAGAAGGATGGGGAGGAAGGGAGAGGGGAGAGGGAGAAGGGGAGAGGGAGAGGGAGGAGAGGGGAGGGAGAGGAGAGATGGATGGAGGAGTGAGAGGGAAGGAGGGAGGTGGAGAGGGAGAGAGAGGGAGAGGGGAGGTGTGTTTGGTAAATCTCTTCGCGTCGATTATTTTCTTGTTTATTTACGAGACGATTTCAGGCGCCGTCTACTTTCAGAATCCATTAGGGCGCTAAACTCGATTCCAAAGGTTCAATTTCCACGGGTGGGCGTTGAAGTGTGAGGGCGGAGGGGGGGGGGGAGGTGGAGAGGGGGAAAGGGGAGGTGAGGGGGTGTTGGAAAAGGGTGACAGGTGTGGGGGTGCGGGTGGGGAGAGGAGATGGAGGGGGGTTGAAAGGGGGTGGTGGAGGGGAGGGGTGAGAGAGAGGTGGTGGGGGCGTGGATGGGGGTGTTGGGTGGGGGCGGAGGAGGGGAGGGGAGGGGAGGAGGGCATATGCGTGGCTGTGACGTGAGACGCGGGAAGAAAAAATCTCAAATCTGTGATTGTGGTTTTGATTTCGTTTCGTTGTCAATGTCCTTATGATGAGGTAATTTATGATTTTTTTTTTTCTCGCTCTCTGTTTGATATTTGCATTTATATAAGGGAGAGACGAGTAGTGAGGGAGAGAAAGAGAGAGCAGAAGGATAAAAAAGAAAAATACCGAAAAAGATGACAGAAAGTGGGAGAGAGACACACCACACACACACACACACACACACACACACACACAACAGACAGACACAGACAGACAGACAGACAGACAGACAGAAAAAGAGAGAGAGACAGACAGATAGACAGACAGACAGAATGAGAGAGAGAGAGAGAAAGAGAAAGAGAAAGAGAAAGAAAGAGAGAAAGAAGAGAAAGAGAAAGAAAAAGAGAGAGAGAGAGAAAGCGAAAGCGAGATGAGGATCGAAAAAGAGTATGCCAGACGCCGCCATAATACTCAATTCCCACAAGTCAGGTTGTGAGTTTGAAATAAATAAAATCCTCGGAACTTATGAAGAACAAAAAAAAAAAAAAAAAAAAAAAAAAAAACAAGAGAATCGTAGCTGGAGAGGCAGTCGGGCAGAAGGCGGTGTAGTTGAGGTAGGGCCAAGGGAGGTGCCAGGTGCCTAGGGTGCCAGGGAGGGAAGGGAGGAGGGGGAGAGAGGAAGGGAGGAGGGGTTGAGGGAAAGGGTTGAAGTGTCTAGGGGTTTAGGGAGAGGGGAAGGGAGGGGGGGAGAGGTTGAGGGGAAGGGTTGAAGTGTCTAGGGTGTTAGGGAGAGGGGAAGGGAGAGGGGAGAAGGAAGGGAGGAGAGGTGTGGGGGTAGGGGGTGAGGGAAAGGGTTGAAGTGTCTAGGGTGTTAGGGAGAGGGGGAGAGGTGTGGGGTAGAGGGTGAGGGGAAGGGTTTGAGTGTCTAGGGTGTTAGGGAGAGGGGGGGAGAGGTGTGGGTAGGGTTGAGGGAAAGGGTTGAAGTGTCTAGGGTGTTAGGGAGAAGGGAAGGGAGAGAAAGGGGGAGGTGAGGGAGGTAGGATTTAGTTTGGAGGGGGGTTAAGTGCCTAGGGTGCCAGAGAGAAGGGAAGATAGGAAGGAGAGGAAGGATGTGAGGTAGGAATTTGGGAAGAGGGTTAAATGCCTAGAGTGCCAGGGAGAAAGGAATAGAGGAGGGGGGGGTTAGGGGGTTTAAGTGCCTAGGGTGCCAGGGAGAAAGGAATATAGGGGGGTTAGGGGGCTTAAGTGCCTAGGGTGCCAGGGAGAAAGGAATATGGGGAGGTTAGGGGGGTTCAGTGCTAGGTGCCAGGGAGAAAGAATATGGGGGGGATTAGGAGGCTTAAGTGCTAAGGGTGCCAGGGAGAAAGGAATAGAGGAGGTGGGTGTAAGGGGGGTTAAGTGCCTAGGGTGCCAGGGAGAGGGGAAAGGACGAGGGATTAGGCTTGAGGGAGAGGAAGTGCCTAGAGTTCCAGGAAGGGAGGAAGGGGGGGGGGGGAGGGGGGGATGTCGCGACGCTTCTCGCATATTTTATCTCCCTCGAAGATTAGTCTTTCCTCGCGAAGTCTTGGCCGACAGGTGCCTCCTTCCGCCTCCTTCCGCCTCCGGACTCCCCCTTTCTCTCTTTCTGTCTTTCATTCCCTCTTTTCCTTTTTTCTTTGCTCTTTTCTTTCTTTTCGTTCTTCCGTTGTTCGTTTCTTTGCTCTTTTTTCTTTCTTTCTCTGTTTCGTTCTTTTTTCCTTTGCTCTTTTTTCTTCGTTTCGTTGTTTGTTTCTTTGGGGATTCGGATCTGTTCTTTGTCTTTGTTTTTTTTTTCTACTATTTTTCCCTTTTATGTCTTTGTTTTCGCCACGTTGACGTCTCCTTGTCCCTTTCTTGTGTGGTTGTAAGTAATGTTTTTTTTCTCTTTATTTTTAACCTTTCTTATACAGCATGTCTTTGTTTTCCATTACTCCTCGTCATCCCTCATCGTCATCCTATTCCACCTCCTTCTTCTCTTCCTCCTATTCCTCTTGCTCTTTCTCCCCTTGATCCTTCTTCTCTTCCTCCTATTCCTCCTCTTTCTCCCCTTGATCCTTCTCATCTTCCTATTCCTTCTCTTCCTTCCTTTCCTCTTCCTCCTACTCCTCCTTATTCCTCCTTTTCCTCCTCCTCCTCCTCCTCCTCTCCCCCCCTTCCCCTCCTCTCTCAAGTCTGACTTCACAAAAGTTTTGAAGAAAGTAAGAAAAGTTCCCAACGCCTAAGCTAATTGATATACTTGAGAATTGTCGCCTTTAAAACATTGAAACCGAAGGATCACCAACAACAAAATAGCAACATGCAACCGTCACAACAACAACAACATTACGTTACAAAGCAGGTGCACAGGGAAGGGAAGATTCTGTGGCTAATCCCTACCTCCATCAAAGCTATCTGTTTCTCTTTCTCTCTCTCCTTCATTATCTCTTTCTTTTTTCTCTCTCTCTCTCTTTCTTTCTTTCTTTCTTTCTTTCTTTCTTTCTTTCTTTCTTTCTTTCTTTCTTTCTTTCTTCTCTCTCTCTTCTCTCTCTCTCTCTCTCTCTCTCTCTCTCTCTCTCTCTCTTCTCTCTCTCTCTCTCTCTCTCTCTCTCTCTCTCTCTCTCTCTCTCTCTTTTTCTTCTTCTTTCTTTTTTTCTTTCTTTCCTTTCCTTTCTTATTCTCTCTCTCTCTCTCTCTCTTCTCTCTCTCTCTCTCTCTCTCTCTCTCTCTCTCTCTCTCTCTCTCTCTCCTCTCTCTCTCTCTCTCTCTCTCTCCTCTCCCTCTCCCTCTCCCTCTCCCTCTCCCTCTCTCCCTCTCCCTCTCCCTCTCCCTCTCCCTACCCCCCCCCTCCCCCTACCCCTACCCCTCCCCCTCCCCCTAACCCCTCCCCTAACCCTCTCCCTACCCCTAACCTCCCCCTACCCCTACCCCTCTCTCCCTCCCTCCCCTCCCCCCCCCCTCCCCTCTCTCCCATTCTCTCTCTCTCTCTATCTCATTCTCAGAGAAAGAGAGAGGGAGAGAGAGAGAGGGAGAGAGATGCGCCCCAAATACACTGTACATCATGCTAATATTTGCTATTATGTCACGGGTAATGCCGGGCATTTAAACGAACTGCGGCGTAGTTTAGAAGAAATTAAAATAGTGAGAGGCGCATTTTGTTGGTCTTTCATTTTTGTGGTTTATCTGATGCAGGGGAATCAGAGGTTATTAAACATGGAGGGCGCTGTTAGCTGTTTTGTTTGTTTGTAGGGAAATGGGGCTGGAGAAGGGACAGGTATCGCCCTCTTTCTCTTTTTTTCTCTATCTCTTTCCGTGTGTCTCTGTTTCTTTTTCTCATTTTTTTTTTACGTCTCTCCCTGTCTCCTCTTCTCATTTTCTGCCTTCTCTCTGGTTCATTTCTTTCCCTGTCACTCCTCCTCCCTCCCTCCCTCCCTCCCTCTCCCTCCCTTCCTCTCTCTCTCTCTCTCTCTCTCTCTCTTTTCTTTTCTTTCTCTTTTTCTCTTTTTTTTTCTGTATGCATGTTATTATATATATCCTCTTCCTCCTCCTCCACACCTCCTCCCTCTTCAGTCCTCCTCCACCTCCTCCCTCTTCAGTTCCTCCTCCTCTTGTCGGCGTCCATGTAACCGTCGCGTAGTGGTTGTTCCGGCGGAGGTTACGGCCCCATAACCTGTCTCGCGTCGTGGTTGTAACGTCTGCTACCACGAGCGGCTGATAATTCCCGTGATTTGCATATTGATCACGCCCGTCATCATCTCGCTAGCCCGCCGCCCACTCGTCCGCGCCGCCCGCCCGCTCTCGTTGAGGTGTTCGGTAGGCCTATGTTGCCCTTCCCTCCCTCCCTCCCCCTATCTCCCTCCCTCCCTCCCTCCTTCTCTTCCTACCCCTCTCGCCTCGGTCCTTCCCCCCATCCCCTCTCCCCCCTCCCTCCCTCCCTCCCTCCCTCCCTCCTCCCTCCCTCCTTCGCTTCCTACCCCTCTCGCCTCGGTCCTTCCCCCCTCCCCCCTCCCCCCACAACCGTATGCTAATGGCGATCTCTTCGTCATTCGAAATGTTCGGGCTTGTCATTAGTGGGGTTGTTGTTGCTTATCGCTGTGGGTGTTCTTGTATATATGGTAATGATGGTGTTGGTGGTGTGGCGTGCGTGGTTTTTGATGGTGTGTTGATGGTGTTTGATGGTGGTGGTGTGATGGTGTTTGATGGTGGTGGTGTTGTGTTTGATGTGTGTTGATGGTGGTGGTGTGATGGTGATGGTGTGATGAGGGTGTTGATGGTGGTGATGGTGAGATGGTGGATGGTGGT